AACATTAGAGGAGGGGTACCTCCAGCACTGGCGTAAGGCACCATCATTTTTGCATCTAGTGTAGAGTTTCGTTGTCTATGGAATCTTTTAGCCTAACAGTGAAACTCACCGCAATCCCATGTTTCAATATGCAGCCAAAGCGGTTTGACCGAACAGCATTCGCAACCTCAAGTTATTATTACATTGTTGCACAATGATGGCAGCGAGAACAAAGTAAGTTAAAAGTACGTTACTATTCAAATCTACGGTCATATTATTCATCGTAAAACACTCAAATTATAATAATGATTTTAAGAATAAATTCACATTTGTGACTGTACACAGGCCGCAGAATGAGGCCTTCTTAAGGTATTGAGGCGATGATAGGATGGTTGGCAGTATGGATGCGACGCTGAACCAGCTCAAGCGAGCATTCTTGGCAAAGACGAAGAACTGGCGTTTGATAAGGCATTTCTAAAAAAGTGGCTTAGAGAATTCCACCGGGCCTGCTCAAGGAATGCCAGTGGTCGGCACCTGTAAGGAACGACCCTCGTCGCTTGGTTCGGGTGTGCGGGAAACGCGTACATGGGCACGCTTAAAAAACTGCACGTCCGTTATCTCCGGAAGCGGCGAGTTACGTATCAAACAGTGCAAACATCATGTGCCAAATAGATGCAACGTCTTCGGGTATTTTCCAGATAGAGGCTTACCTTACCCGCAACTGCAGTTTCAAGGGAAGTACAGAGATAACAGAAGAAGTGACAGTAAACGGTAAATGGAAGTAAACGGTAACGTCAGTAAGCCAAGTTTAACTAACCTATTTCGTACGAACCAGATGCTTGAAACGAATCATGTATTGTGAGCGTAAATTAATATGTACAAAGTATGCCTAAGCAAAAGTTCCGCCATAGCAATTTCAATTCGCTCACTTGTGCTATCAAATTGGTGTTTGCAAAATTACAAAAGGAACATCTGTGTCGAGCATAGAACCAGTTCAGGCTCCAACTGAAGCCGAAATCGAGGTGAGCAAAGGTCACATTGAGTAAACACTGCTAACTAAAAATAACGCTTTTCGTACCTAGAAAAAACCTCGTTAACGCATCTGTTATTGTTTAGATACAGTCTTAGAAACGACTTAAAAAACTTGAAAAAAAAAGTTGCAATCTAAGCCGATTTCGGACAACCAACCTCTAGTTGTGGAGGGAAGCACTACAACAGTTTTGTCTGGCTGTATGAGTCCAGTCAGATATTTTTTCCTCTAAGTTGCAGTTCCCACATTACATGCGCTCAACTTAAGTGTAACATAAAATAATTTGCTGGTGCACATTAATTTCCGACGCCCTCGGGACCTCGTAGTTAATGACAAACGTAACAAACTCGTAATCGATTCCTCGCCCCATAAGGAGAACTCGATGATAAGAGTTCTTGAAAAACCCAAAGTTTTGAAGACGCTGCATTTAGAAAAATCGCAAGAAGGAGAGCTCTGTTTGCTTAAGAACATTATAATTATATTGTATGTTCTAAACAACTAGTTCGCATAATGAATCAGCTTGTCCTTGTACCTTCACGTGCAAGTGGCTTTAACCTGACTAACCTGTGTCATGACGCTATGAAACAAAATGCAAGAAAATCCTGCCGCGTTCAGCGTATCGCACAAATTCGAACAAATAATCGGTAGTGTTTATGAATATGATCACCCGTAACACGAATATAGCATAAGTATAAATAATTTATAATAAAAAATAAACATAAATAAAATAAAGACTAAATGCTCATTATCACAGAGAGCTCGAACGGGAGACCCAGTTCTTTGAAATGAATATACTATGCGGCGCCGTGTTGAGTCTCAAGTGGCAGTATTGTCATAACGTTCTCCAAGGCCGCGTCCGTTAATAATTTTTGTATCAGTTTGTACATATAACGGACAATGTATCTAAGGGTATAGCCCACAATTGACGCAGTGCAGACCTGCACACCAGCCTTGTAATACGTACGAGATCGTGTTAGATATAATAGAAAAATAGTACACTTAGTCCTAAGATGGTTGTTAGTGAGGGTCGACGTGCGTTTTAACGCGCCTGTTAAGGTAATAACTGGTGAGCCTGAAAATACGCAAACGAACAAACGTCATCAATACTACTAACCTGGTTGTAGTCGATCCTTTCGAGGAAATCGAAAAGGTATCTTGTCTTCTTTGTCCTAGAGTCCAAACTCAGTCGGAACTGCATCATCCCTGTCAAAATCAGTTCATTTGGATCTTCAACCAGGAATAAACAAGGCTGTCAAAATACAAGCTTAGAAGTGAGTTTTTATAAACCATGTTGATGATTCTCGAAAGAAACAGGCCACCAAAGAATGTTTGGCTTTTGGGATTTCTTTGCTTATTTCCCTACCTATCTATCTACGTATTTTGAATCAGACAAGAACATATTTCGTTTACAGCTGTTCTGATCATAACAATAAACTTTGTACGGACTACATAAGCTTCAAAAAGCCCTCCTCAGCGTCGGTTCGATTAATCGCGCGAATGAGCATCATAACGTGACGCTCCTCCGAGCAAGCGTTAAGGAGTTCGCGAACTTCGGGGGTCATTCTCTCTAATAGCAAGAATCGAAGTAAATTTATATAAATTTACGACATCTCTTCTCAAT